ATTTTTTTCAGGAAGTACGTTCTTCATCACTCCATCCTCAATTACTGTCTGTAAATAATAATACACTCTCTAAAAACACATTATATAAAACTTGACAGTAGACAAAGCCTATGAACAGGGAAGTCAGAACCTATGAACAGGGAAGTCAGAACCTATGAACAGGGAAGTCAGATCTAAAAAAAAATTTGTTCATTTTTTATTTTAAATTTTTCGTTTTAAAGGTTTCATTCGGTATTTCATGCACCACTTCCATTTTCAATCGGAAGACCGCAACAATTATTCTTAAGTGAAAAGTTAATTTGATCTGTTATTGTTATACATTATCATTGAGTTACATTAACAAGAGCGATCAGTGATCACATGTGTCGCCTCATGATGGCCACTTTCATGTTGGGACAAGTTTTGTGACAGACGGACAGACAGACGGACAGTGCACAACTAGACTTGGTACTGATCATTCCTGTAAAGTTTGGATGAAATCTCGGCCAAAAGTCGTTCAACCGGAAAACCCGTGCAATATGCGCAAGGACTTGAGCTACAGATCAATCCTGTAAAGTTTCATTGAAATTGCATTAGTGGTATAAGAGAAGTAGTCCGGACAAACTTTAAAAATAAAAATTATTAAAGGGCCATAACTCTGACAAAAATCATTGAACCAGAAAATTCTGACAATATGCACAACTAGACTTGGTACTGATCATTCCTGTAAAGTTTGGATGAAATTGCACCAGTAGTTTATGAGCAGTAGTCCGGACAAGTTTTGTGACGGACAGACGACGGAGAAGTGATCCCTATATGTCACCACTACTCCGTAGAGGCGACACAAAAATGGCAGTATCCAACTGTACAGGACATTGAAAATATCACTGATAGTTATAGAAATCTATATATTTTTTAATTGTTTTTTCTTTTCTTTTTAAATATACATGTGTAGTCTATAGCCAGGCAAACCAAAGCCCGGGCCAGCCTTGTGATGCATGGCTTTGACTTTCCCTTATAAACATGAAACTATTGTACAAATATCTTCATCTTAGTACAGTATGTTATCATCAGCCTTTTTTCATATATGTAAAGATTAAATCACAGATGTGTCAGATTGCCGAAGTTCTTATAAATCAAAGCATCGAAACAAACAAATGTACTTAACACCAACAGCAGTCACAGAGATGTCTTAACAATTCTTTATGTTTGAAAGTAATACAAGAAATATATTGAAATTTTCAAAGTTTACAAAGGGGGAATAATTCAGTAAAGAGTTACTGGTCTTTAAATAGAGACATACAAGATATAGGAAGTTTATAAAGTGAATAGCATTAAAAAAATAAGACTTGCGTGCAAGTACTATACACATTCTCTGAATTTGCACAAGTTCACAATTTATGGGTATAAGTTCAATAATAATGCATGCTAATTAAATCACCTATAACAATTGTTTAATTTATTTTGACCTTAAAGACCCATGAAGAGTTTCAAACCGAAATTAATATGAAAATAGACAAAACCTATGATCAAGGAAGTCAGACAAAAAAAATTCTTTCATTTTTTTTATTTTACATTCTTCATTTTCAAGGTGTCATTCATAATTTCATGCATCACTTCCATTTTCAATCAGAACACCTCAATGATTAATCTTAAGCCAAACACTTGCGATTGTTCAGTAATCAAAATACCCCACCAGTCACCACTGAGTTCCATTCAAAATGGCAGCAACTAGAAATGACACAGAACATTTCACTGATTGGTATAGAAATCTCTATATTTATTAACTGTTTTTACATTTGCATTTCATTTCCTTTTAAATATACACATGTAGTCTATAGCTGGGCAAGCCAAAGCCAGGGCCAGCCTTTGACTTCCTCATATTAATTAGAAAGAATCTTATAGGATATTAAGGCTGATGCCAGGGTGAGTAGGACACAGTTAGATATTTCTTCTCTATTAACGAAATATGAAAAACTCAAATATACCTCTATGTCCATTTGGTCCCATTGTGTGAACAGTGACTGGTTATTTTGTGTAAGACTATCAGAAGTTGTTGTGGTCAGTGAGGTTGGTGAAGTTGGCGATGCCGGTGACGCGCTGGTGAGGGACGTACTCTCACTGCGACTCATCAAACTTCTGCCCTCGAACTTTCTTATACATTCTCTTGTCCTCTCTATGTACTCTAGCAATTTCTCTATTAAATATTGTCATAATTTAGTTATAACTTTTAAATATGTTTCACCATCACAGTCTAGCTTATAGAATGCCTGTGGTTCTACACTGGTGCTCGTTTGTTCCTAAAAAACTGCATGATTGGGTACCTGAGGTCATCCTCCACAAATAAAGATGGAAAGTCATTATATGACCTATACTGAGTTGGTGTGACATAAAACCAAACCAAAATACAAGAGCGATCAGTAATCACATGTGTCGCCTCATGATGGCCAATTTCATGTTGGGACAAAGTTTGTGACAGACGGACAGACAGACAGACAGTGCACAACTAGACTTGGTACTGATCATTCCTGTAAAGTTTGGATAAAATTGCACCAGTAGTTTATGAGGAGTAGTCCGGACAAGCTTTTGCGTATCTGGCAACACACAGAAAAAACACCTTTTTATCAAAGGCCATAACTCGGCCAAAAATCCAACCGGAAAAACCCTGCAATATGCTTTTGAGCTACAGATAAAGTTTCCTTAAATTGCAGTGGTATAGAATGAGAGTAGTCACACTTTAAAAATAAAAAATTATTAAAGGGCACTCTGACAAAATTTTAATCAAAATAACCCTTGGTACCATGTAAATTTAGATGGCCAAGTTTATGAGGAGTGTCCAGACAAGCTTTGTGTATCTGGCAACACACAGAAAAATACACCTTTTTAATCAAAGGGCCATAACTCGGCCAAAAAAGTCATTCAACCGGAAAACCCTTACAATATGCCGCAATGACTTGAGCTACAGATCAATCCTGTAAAGTTTCATTGAAATTGCTTTAGTGGTATAAGAGAAGTAGTCCGGACAAACTTTAAAATTAAAAATTATTAAAGGGCCATAACTCTGCCAAAAATCATTGAACCGGAAAATGCTGACAATATGCACAACTACCCTTGGTACTGATCATTCCTGTAAAGTTTGGATGAAATTGCACCAGTAGTTTATGAGGAGTAGTCCAGACAAGCTTTTGTGTATCTGGCAACACACAGAAAAATACACTTTTTTAATCAAAGGGCCATAACTCGGCCAAAAATCATTCAACCAGAAAACCCTTACAATATGCGCAAGGACTTGAGCTACAGATCAATCCTGTAAAGTTTCATTGAAATTGCTTTAGTGGTATAAGAGAAGTAGTCCGGACAAACTTTAAAATTAAAAATTATTAAAGGGCCATAACTCTGCCAAAAATCATTGAACCGGAAAATGCTGATAATATGCACAACTAGACTTGGTACTGATCATTCCTGTAAAGTTTGGATGAAATTGCACCAGTAGTTTATGAGGAGTAGTCCGGACAAGTTTTGTGACGGACAGACGGACAGACAGACGGACAGACGACGGAGAAGTGATCCCTATCCACAATAAAAATACCTCACACAAAAAGAAGAATTTATTTCCCAAAACTGCCAAGTACATTTAAATACCCTATGTTATTGTACACTCTTCATATGTAAGTCAACCTTAGTTAAGAAGAGAGTTGTTAAAATTTAAGAACAAAATACTCCCATGCTGTAGACTTAGTTGATAAAAAATTGTGTGAATCTCTGGAAAGAACACATTGTTTTGGGTTTTTTTGTTAATAGCAGGTTTCAAAAAAGTCATGTAGCTGCAATATACATGTATGTCTAGTATATGAGCAAAAGCATTTCTGTTTGAAGATCCTCTGAATTTTGTGTACACCTTTAAATGACCAAAATCATCCTACAAAGTTTGATCAAAGTAAGTCTAAAGTTCTTTAAATGTTACACAGATATGTTCTGACTGGCCAATATCAACACAACCATCTACCTTTCTCTTTATTTTCTTACATTAATGGAAGCTTACTATAATGAGAGGTTCTAAAAAAAATTGATTTACTTTTTAGATTCCAATTTAAGAAATAGAGGATATTGACTGAGTGTATGTTCACATGAATATTATATTCTATTTATCACATACCTAAATAAGAACCATTGTTTCAATTTAAAAACAATAACGTAATGCCAAAATTAGCACCTTCAACACTATGTTTGTATAATGCCAGTACGTCATGTCAAAATATACAATGTAGGACTGTGTGTTCATACGATTTTTACAGAGTCGCATAGGTGGCATGTGATAAAAGTGTGTAAAAGCATGTAAACATTGACTATACCTGTGGAATGTTGTAAGTCTGTATTTTCTTGCTCTGATGTCACAGACAGGGAGACCGTTAAACTATCAAGGAGGAGTTCGTACAGGAAGTCTATGCAGCTATCTAGAACATCCTTCCCAAATGAATGAGAATGGTTATCCCCTACCGTGCCTCGTACAGTGTCGAGTATCACAGTTACAGCCGGTTCTAACTGCTGCACGACATCTAAGTGACTCATGAAGGACTCTCCTGTAGGGACGTTCACACCACCCTTATGTTTAACAAATGCCGAATGTGTTGATGTAAAAACTGTAAAAGATATGTAAAAATGTCAACATTCATTCTACAAAGTAATTTAACAAATTTTCTTCAATAAACTGATTTTAGTTCAAAACAATTTTTATCTAAGAAATATTGCGAAGAAAGATTGTATATCATTTGACACTTCCAAATTAACTTTTTGGAGCAACCTTCTGTAAAATGCATGAATTAATGTCAAAAGAAAATTGAAGGAATTATTCATGTTTAAGCATAGGCCATGCTCCAAAATTATGATGTGTTTGAATATAAACTTCAATTTATAACAAAATACCTTGAATAATTCATAGTGATGAAAACTGTACAAACAAACCAGACATTCAAGAAAAAGTTTGACATACTAATGAGAAAAACGAATTTGCAGGCAAAAATGACTTAATGATATCTATCTGTAACTTTGGTATTGTGAACTACAACATAGCATACTTTTTTCTTTACTCTTCAAGAAGAATGTAACAGTATCAAGCTGACGGTGTTTGAGACCCACTTCAAGTGTATGTATTGGCATAGAGGAACGACCCCAACTATTTAACTGACACACTGTATCCACTAATGATGCTCCACCATATATCATCAGCTGTAAACAGAATCATATATTTACTGTAAACAATATTACACATTAACTGTAAAACAATCAAAGCACAGAAGGCGCTGAATTTGTTTGGGTCTCAGAATGTCAGAAAGGTGAAGGTTGTGAGATTATAGAACAATTTGTTTTTGTATAGTGCCACCAATGCTTTCCAGCGTTTTAATTGTAGTAGATTGGCTATAAGACTAATTGCAACTCTCATACTCGATCCAATATTTATTTGACTTAAACAATTTGGAAAAAAAATGTGTTGCCTTAACTGGGATTTGAACTCCAGACCTCTCGCTTCCTAAGCGAACGCGCAAACCCCTTGGCCACGGTGGATTTACATGTCAACGGTCTGAAGAAAACCATATTATTCTAGTTAGGGTTTGTAATGACACTAACTGTTGTTTAACACTTGTGTAAATAATCATGGCGCTTACTATAAGCATGTATATCTATAAAGAATAAAACAATATTAGAAATCTGCGACCATTCGGGAATTATTTTGCTTGAAAATTAATCCGCCTGTCATGTGACCATATTTACGCAGTGATCTCCCCTAAATTTTTCGGCCTAAGTGTTACATATAAAGGGAAGTAACCGCTTCAAAAAAGCGGACTACTTTCGGCACTTGCAATTAACAGCATTAGAGTCTGAAATTTCGCTACCATTATTTGTTTGGTCTGACGACCCAAACAAATAAAAATCAAACATCAAAAGTAAAACAATAGCAAACATTCTCTTAACAATATCACACCAATATAACACACCTATGTGTAATATGTGCAACACATTAACATGTGTACCAAATTTAACATATGTACCACATTATAATATGTAAAACATTTAACATACATGTATGTAACACATTAATATTTGTACCACATTTAACATATGTACCTCAAAGATGTACCTCATAAATGCATGTTCCTTATTAACACATGTATGTCATAGATACACGAATCTTATTAAAACTTATATTTAAAATCTTACTTCAACATCACAAATACCTCATTAACAAACTGTTCCTGATCCATTTCTGTCCTCATAATGATCCCTGTAAGATGATGGTCTGTTATAACTAGATGTGGTAAACTTGCATCTCTTGACAAAACTATCTTCTCACCCTCATTTAACCTGAAGTATAACAATAGATACTGAAATCTGTGCTGTAAAAATAAAGCTGTAACCTGTAAACTAATAATAGAATAAGTAAACTATGCCCATACAGTCACATAACTAAATGTGTATACTGTATACATGCATTACTGGTGTAACAATATACATGCAATGATATACAGGTATGAGTATATTGTGAAGCAGCATCGGCCAATACGTACAGATCTCTCGTATTGCAGTATATTTTCTTCTATATATTTGATCAAAATGTTTAACAATTATTATAAAGTAAAACAATCCTGTGTTTTGATTATTTTAAGCACTGCAACCCTGTAAATGTACAAACACCCTTATTTTTTATTGTTCAATAAAGACTTAAAAGTATTATGATCTTAACCTTCCAAATATATCTAGATATGGGTTATCAATAGTCTCAGGAGCTTTAAACTTTTCTATAATAAACAGTAGCTTTACTTCTATTTTGTTTTACATAACAATCAATGGATAGGAATATGCATTGCAATTCATTTATATATCCCAATGCGGGTTTGACCATTATTGCTGCATGCCTTAAGTAAACATACATGTATATTTTTTTAATGACCAAAAACTGTCATTAATTAATTTAAAAATATTAATTATAACAATAATAGTAACTGTTTTAGTAATACAATACCTGAACATGTTCCATGTATGTGAAGAAAGTTCAATGTGACACAATACATATGTGTTATTGTAACAATACACAACATAGATCATCTTCTCATCTATGTAAATATCATCTACACTGTATCCGTGTACACTTTCTGCTGTATGTATAACACTAACATATGACTGAATATTATCTGCGTCTATCTTGCTTGAAGATCGGAATCCCGTATGTTTATACTGTTTTCTTTTAGTAATGTTAAGAGTGGATGGTTGAGGTGCATGAATTTGATTACTCTTGTGACTTGAATGCATAGATAATAACTTCTCCCTCCAAGGAATATCTCCGTACTGGCATGTGTTAAGATATGATGGGAAATTATTGTTCTGTGGTTGTCTCCCTTGTTGTGGAGAAGTTGTACAATATGAGTGAAGATCTACAAGGTGTATATCTCCAGACTGGAGAACCAGGGCGAGGTATTTAAATTGATCGGACATAGTCCATGCTTGTATTGATGATATATCTAGTTGTCTAATATCAATCTTCGATATCTCTTTCCCCGTATCAATACTGTAAAATACTGTCACACAGGCTAAGGAAAGTAATCATTTATCAATTAAACATTTGATTACATCATGAAGAAATTTCATGATTATAAATCTAAATTCAAAATTATAAATCTATAATATATCTAAGTATCACTTTAGAAAAATAGTCTTCTAAAATAGTTTTCATTTTTTTCAATCATTGTGTTATTACCTATCATGTAAATGTGATTTTAACATGTATTTAAATTGGACAACTCAACAGATACTGTTATATCTAATTGTAATAAATATATTGTGATAAAAGGATACATAACATAGAAGCAGTTATATCCAGAACTGTACAGACCCCACCAATAATCACATATTTGTTGACATCACTTGTAGTCTCAGGTAAGGTTATGTTAGAAAGTACATCACATTGATGATCCTTAATGGAACACTGTACCAGATAACTCTCGTTTATATATACTGTAATTATCTCTCTTTTGAAGGATGTCAACTCTAATGCCTCAAACTCAGTGATATTTACTGAAAGAAAAAGCCATGTTAACAAATATGACAGTTTGCAAATAATTTGAATACATTTTAAAAACAGTTTTTATCAGTATCAGTTCACAATAAGTCCATATTGGTTTAAAACATATATATAAATTCATACAAAAAATATTCAAGTGGACCGAAAACAAAAATATATACCATTTTAAAAGTTTTGGAAAAGAAGCAATGTCTTCTTAAAGAAAAGTTATATACCTTTAGTTAAGGCAGATCTTAAATCCAACTTCTCTTGTACAACATATTTGTCTCCTTGGTATTCATAAACCAGTAGCTCCCCATCCTTATTTATGGTAGCAATTTTACCAGTTTTAAAACTTTCCACATCAGTTTGTAGGGCAAATCTGGAGGAGAAAAGAAAATTTACATATTTACTGTGTCTTTTGATTTCTAATTCTATCTTGGACGTTAGTATAGCTGACATGTTCAACAAGGTTTGGGAATTTGGGATATGAAGCTTTGATTTAAATTTACCATCTGATGTCCCTACATGTTGGCACCTTTTTCTCAGAGTTTGATAATCATTTTGTATTAACATGTTTTGATGACATTACATGTATTTTATTGGTTTAAAAGTAATGAAAGAGGAGGAATTGGGTTCAGCTCAGTGTTAAAACTTACTTGGAACCCATATTTATATCACTGGTAATAATAGAATAGAATAAATTACTTGTTGCATGGTTTACACTTTATAGACAGATGGTGTAACTGTGTTTGTTTTTTTACAGTGACATTTATTTTATATATATCTCTGATAACAGGATTAGGGTCAAAACAGCGTGATTTTCTTTTATCCTGCAGGGTTAACACATGTATATAAATATTTTTTGTAACACAATAACAGACAATAACAGACAATTACGGACAATGGCATAATAATTTTATATATCGACAGATCTTTACTTGTAAGCTAAGCTGATCCGTCTGAAGTTGACATTTGCCAATTTGGATTAGGACCTAGGTAACCCTTTACTGAAGAAGAGTCCTGCAGGGGTGGTGCATCAAAAGCCTAATCTAGAAGTTGTGGGTTCAAATCTCACTAGCAGTGAGGTTCTTGTTTGAATTCTGCAATCAACACTGGTACAATTGGGAAAACAAATAAAAACTAGAACTATCACTAAATGTGATTAATACCCCCACAAGTCTGCTTCGGAAATGAGGATGTTACTAGTAACAGAATACCTTGTAATAGAATTGAAACATAGAGTTATGGTTGTGGGCAATTAAAGATAATTGTGGTTCATGTATGTTGCATTTCCTTTCAATGTGGCTGGCCATTGATGAAGTTTAATTGAATTACTCTGTAATAAGTCCAGAAAGACAAAGAAAAAGAATAAAGGGCAATAACTCTATAAATACTGAAGATAGAGTTATAGTTCTTGTGCACTGCACTTCCTCTTATTGTGCTTGACCATTGTATGAAGTTGTTTTGAATTCCAACCAGTACGTTTTAAGTTATGCTCCGGACAAGGAAAAGTATCAAAGGGCAGTAACTCTGTATTTTTGTCAAAATGGAGTTATGGCTCTTGTGCACTGCACTTCCTTTTAATGTCCTTGACAACTGTATGAAGTTATATTGAATTCCAAACAGTAGTTTTCAAGTTACGCTCTGGACAAGGAAAAGTAACAAAGGGCAAGAACTCTGTAATTAGTCAAGATGGAGTTATGGTTCTTATGCACTGCACTTCCCCTTATTGTGCTTGATCATTGTATGAAGTTGTTTTGAATTCCAACCAGTAGTTTTCAAGTCATGCTCTGGACAAGGAAAAGTAACAAAGGGCAGTAACTCTGTAATTAGTCAAAATGGAGTTATGGTTCTTATGCACTGCACTTCCTCTCAATGTGCTTGACCATTGTATGAAGTTATAATCAATTCCAACAATAAGTCTTCAAGTTATGGTCCGGACAAAAGAAAGCAATGGAAAAGTAACAAAGGGCAATAACTCTGTAATTAGTCAAGATGGAGTTATGGTTCTTGTGCACTGCACTTCCCCTTATTGTGCTTGGCCATTGTATGAAGTTGTTTTGAATTCCAACCAGTAGTTTTAAAGTCATGCTCTGGACAAGGAAAAGAAACAAAGGGCAGTAACTCTGTAATAAGTCAAAATGGAGTTATGGTTATTGAGCACTGCACTTCCTCTCAATGTGCTGGACCATTGTATGAAGTTATAATGAATTGCAACAATTAGTCTTTAAGTTATGGTCCGGACAAAAGAAAGCAATGGAAAAGTAATAAAGGGCAATAACTCTGTAATTACTTTAGATAGAGTTATGGTTCTTATGCACTGCACTTCCTCTCAATGTGCTTGACCATTGTATGTAGTTATATTGAATTCCAACCATTAGTCTTCAAGTTATGGTCCGGACAAAAAAAAGAAGGTAATGGAAAAGCAACAAAGGGCAATAACTCTGTAATTACTTTAGATAGAGTTATGGTTCTTGTGCACTGCACTTCCCCTTATTGTGTTTGACAATTGTATGAAGTTGTTTTGAATTCCAACCAGTAGTTTTCAAGTTATGCCACGGACAAGGAAAAGTAACAAAGGGCAATAACTCTGTAATTAGTCAAGATAGAGTTATGTTTCTTACGCACTGCACTTCCTCTCAATGTGCTTGACCATTGTATGTAGTTATATTGAATTCCAACCATTAGTCTTCAAGTTATGCTCCGGACAAGGAAAATGCAACGAACAAAAAAAAAAGCAATGGAAAAGCAACAAAGGGCAATAACTCTGTAATTACTTTAGATAGAGTTATGGTTCTTGTGCACTGCACTTCCCCTTATTGTGTTTGACAATTGTATGAAGTTGTTTTGAATTCCAACCAGTAGTTTTCAAGTTATGCCCCGGACAAGGAAAAGTAACAAAGGGCAATAACTCTGTAATTAGTCAAGATAGAGTTATGGTTCTTGTGCACTGCACTTCCTCTCAATGTGCTTGACCATTGTATGTAGTTATATTGAATTCCAACCATTAGTTTTCAAGTTATGCTCCGGACAAGGAAAATGCAACGGACGTCTGGACCGACCGACCGACCGACCGCCCGACCGACCAACCGACCGACCGACCGACCGACCACCGGGTGACTCCTATATACCCCCCCAAACTTCGTTTTTGGGGGTATAACAACAATTATCAATATTTATTGTATATAAATGACATTCACTGGCAAACACCATATTGGTGTCATTGTTCAGAACTGTTCACTATTTAGAGGAGATGATGTTTAAGCAGCCGGGAAGCTCAGTTGGTAGAGCCTCGGTACGGTATTCCGAGGGTCCTGGCGCCCAACAGGAGACCTCGACTATATATTGCTCAGAGTTTAATTCACATTGCTCTGTAGTAACTCTGTGAAATTCGATGACGAATTTCAATGAAGCAGGGGAGTATGTCACGGTTCAGAACTGTTCACTATTTAGGGGAGATAATGTGTAAGCGGCCGAAAAGCTCAGTCGGTAAAGCCGCGTTAAGGTATTCCTAGAGTCCCGGGTTCCAGTCCCGGTCAGGCTGCACATTGATCTCACCCTGTGACACTCGTTATTTTAGGAATTATTCTCTGAATCTTACGTAATTAATGCATGGTAATACATATATAAATTACCCTTTGACATGTTCGAGATCTTCTACAACTTTGGCTTCCGCATTTTGGAAACTGCTGATGATTAAATGGTTGCCATTAAAATGGCAGAAAAAATAATTCGATTTTATACAATATTTGAAAGCTTTAATTTTTTGCAGTTCTTGCTGTTTCGGTAGTTTTTGTAAAATAAATCTGAAAAAGTTTCTATTTTTCGCAACTGTTCCTTCCGCCATTTTGTCCAACGACTGGGTCACATGATCGTCAAAAAGCGGGAATTTCTTTTTGCAGTAATGTGTGTATAGAAAAGAAAAATGTTAAGCGTAATGCTGAACAGAATGTGGCGTAATGCGTCGATATTATGCATAAAAAACTGGGGTACCCTGAGAAAAAATAAAAATAAAATAAAAAAACAAAACAAAAATAAATAATAGAACAAAAAAAAACCAGAACATACAAACAATAAAACCTCACATAATTTCATAAATGTTGAATTAGGGAGAATAAATTAGAAATATCGTCATGAATATATTAGATGTTTTTTTCCTGTCCCGCTTATTCTTTCATGTGCAGTAATTCTCTTACGAGTAAAGACGTTAAATTTATTTAATATTATTTAGAATCTACTGATTTTCTATACAGTATATCGAAGATTTATTTAGGTTCTGATAGGTGCCACAGACATGGGTATCGGACCCTTCGATCTAGTTTTCAAGCTCGGCCATGCGACCATGGTACGGTTCACTCATCTAATGGATCTTTAAGAGTTGTTCCTCGTCTTGGTCTACGAAGATGTGTTCTTTGACCTCATTTACCACATTCATAGATTCTAAAGCTGAAAATGTACGTAAAACGATTCTTAATCTTATCATTCGATGATGGCTTAAAACCATGTCTTTGTTACAGGTGTATATCATAATTTGTCTACAAATGCCAAAATACAAATTTCATTGTCAGAGTCAAAAATATCTATCAAATGTAAATCGTACTCCATTTAGTCTCGTTTTCATTTTCAGTGTTTGAAGCAACAAAATTCTATCAAAATTGTCAAACAAGCTATATATATGTTTTCATGGAGCTAAATATAAGTATATCTGTGATGTTTTATACACGCGCTATATGTTTTACGCACGCGAAAGTCTGGTCAGCTGTACACTTCATACCTTTAGAAGTGCCGAATAAAATTCCGCCTGTATGACTGCACAGTTGTTGGAATTAAAGGGAAGCGTTACGACATGGGATTGAGAAACTTCTCAATAACCTAAACCCTCATAAAGCCTGTGGTCCAGATAAAATAAAACCAATAATTCTCAACACACTTTCCAAAGAGCTCTCTCCAATCTTAGAGGTTATTTTCCAAAAGTCCATCGATGAAGGCCAAATGCCATCTCAATGGAAATCTGCAGATGTGGCCGAAATCTTCAAGAAAGGTGATAGGTCAGTCCCTGCCAATATAGGCCAATTTCCTAAACATGCGTTTTGTGTAAGGTTATGGAACATATAGTTTCCTCTTCCATTGTTAAACACTTCACCATCCAAAACATCCTTTTCCACCTGCAACATGGTTTCAGGGAAAAGGGTCATGTGTTACGCAACTTGTTACGCTGGTAAATGACCTGGTTACCTCAGTATATGAGAAAGAAAACAAGTAGATCTGATTTTTTCGATTTCAGTAAGGCTTTAAATAAGGTCAGTCATGAGAAAGTACTGCTGAAAATACATGACTATGGAATCAGAGGTTAAACCTTAAGATGGGTCAAAAGTTTTCTGATAACAGGATGAAGGCTGTTGTGTATCCTCAGGTGTCCCCCAAGACCCAGTTCTAGGTCCCCTCTTGTTTCTCGCTTATATAAACGACCTCGCACAAAACATAAATTCCCAGGTCCGCTTGTCTTGATACTGCAATATACATTGCTCTGACATCTGCAAACCAATCAGCCACCCATCACAATGATTCGGTTAGACAAGTGGGAGTCGGAGAGGGATATGGAATTTAAACCCTTCAAGTGTCAAGTTATACACGTCACAATAAGGAAACATCCTATCCCAACACAATACTACCTTCATAGAATCCAATTAGAATCGAGTACCTCAGCTAAATACCTATGCCTGGATATATCAGAAAACCTTACATGGGATGCCCACATGAACAGGTCATCAAAGAAAGCAAATCAAACCTTAGGATTCCTACGCAGAAACATAAAGGTTTTCATCC